ATTTCACTGATCACCGAAGACATCACCCTCATCACATCTGGCAATCATTCTGACCACCATCTCCTTTTACATTCTGGACACTCAACTAGCACCCATCGTTCTTGGTCACCCATGGCTCACCCGTCACAACCCCAAAATAGACTGGCAACTCAAATCGGTGGCAGCGTGGAGCAGTTTTTGTCATAAGTCCTGTCTTGTGTCTGCCTGTCCATCTGTTTCTGTTCATGTGTTACAGGAGGAGACAGTGGATTTATCAAACGTGCCCACGGAGTATCGGGATCTGAAGGAGGTGTTCAGTAAGTCTCGGGCTGATTCTCTTCCTCCGCATCGTCCCTATGACTGTGCTATAGACTTACTGCCAGGTACGTCTCCGCCTAAGGGCAAGTTATATTCACTCTCTGTCCCAGAGAGAGAGGTCATGGAGAAATACATTTCTGATTCTCTTGCAACGGGATTCATCCGCCCTTCCTCTTCTCCAGCGGGGGCGGGGTTCTTTTTTGTGGGGAAGAAAGATGGATCGTTGCGACCTTGTATTCATTACCGGGGGTTGAACAACATCACGGTAAAGAATACTTATCCTTTGCCTTTGATGCCTTCAGCTTTCGAGAGGTTGCAAGGAGCATCTATCTTCACGAAACTGGATTTAAGGAATGCTTATCATTTGGTCCGCATCAGGGATGGGGATGAGTGGAAGACCGCTTTTAACACCCCTAGGGGGCACTTTGAATATTTGGTTATGCCATTCGGCCTTTCCAACTCCCCAGCGGTCTTCCAAGCACTTGTCAATGACGTGTTGCGAGACATGGTCGATCAATTCATATATGTTTACCTGGATGATATATTGATTTTTTCATCGTCTCTCCAGGAACACGTGCAACATGTTCGACAAGTGCTTCAGAGGTTGCTAGAGAATGGGCTTTTTGTCAAGGCGGAGAAATGCGTTTTTCATGCACAGTCTGTTCCTTTTCTAGGTCACATCATCTCGGTTGAGGGAATGCGCATGGATCCTGACAAGGTTAAGGCTGTGGTGAATTGGCCAAGTCCAGATTCCCGTAAGGCCCTACTGAGGTTTCTGGGGTTCGCCAATTTTTACCGGCGTTTTATTCGCAATTTCAGCCGACTAGCCGCGCCTCTGACCGCCTTGACCTCCCCCAGAACAACGTTCAGGTGGTCAGACACAGCAGAAGCTGCGTTTGCCAAACTGAAGGGTTGCTTCGTTTCAGCCCCCATCCTGATAACCCCTGATCCATCACGTCAGTTCGTGGTGGAGTTCGATGCGTCAGAGGTGGGGGTAGGTGCAGTGTTATCCCAGTGCTCTCCTTCAGACGACAAGATGCACCCTTGCGCGTTTTTTTCGCATCGTTTATCCCCTGCCGAAAGCAATTATGACATTGGCAACAGAGAGTTGTTGGCGGTCAAGCTAGCATTGGAGGAGTGGCGCCACTGGTTAGAAGGGTCTGGGGTACCTTTTATCGTCTGGACCGACCACAAGAATCTGGAATACATTCGTACTGCTATAAGACTTAATTCCAGGCAGGCTCGGTGGGCTCTTTCATTCGGACGTTTTGACTTTACTCTCTCGTACCGCCCGGGTTCCAAAAATATCAAACCCGATTCTTTATCGCGCATTTTTTACCGTTCCGATCGCCCGTCTACTCCCGAGTGCATTTTACCAGAGAATCTATTCATCTCTACACTCACATGGGAGGTCGAATCGAAGGTCAAGAAGGCCTTAGAAGGGGTAACGCCTCCGACTCGTTGCCCACCGAACCGTTTGTTTGTGCCGGAGAGTTTACGGTCCAGCGTCATTCAGTGGGGACACTGTTCCAATGTGGCTTGTCATCCAGGAGTCAATCGTAGTATGTTTTTGGTTAAGCAGCGATTTTGGTGGCCTCTCATGGCTCGTGACGTTCGCAGTTTTGTATTGGCTTGCTCAGTTTGTGCCACGGGTAAGACTTCCAATCAACCTCCAGATGGGTTACTCCAACCGCTGCCGGTGCCTTCGAGACCCTGGTCCCATATCGCGCTAGATTTTATCACCGCCCTCCCACCCTCCCAGGGTCACACGGTAGTTTTGGAGAGAACGTTGCGATGTTTAGTGTCCAAGAATCCTTCCTCCTGGAGTCAGCAACTGTCTATGGTGGAGTACGCCCACAACACGTTGCCAGTGTCATCCACGGGCCTATCACCATTTGAGTGTAGTGTAGGTTACCAGCCACCAATTTTTCCTAGTCTGGAATCCGAAGTCGCGGTCCCCTCCACCCACGCCTTTGTCCAGAGGTGTCACCGCACTTGGACTAGAGCCCGTGAGACTCTACTCCAAGAGGCCAAAGCCGATCGCCACCGGCGGAGGCCTCCCGTATACGTCGTCGGTTCTAAAGTGTGGCTTTCTACCAAGGACAGTCCTCTCCGCTCCGTTTCAAATAAGCTCGCACCAAAATTTATTGGCCCGTTCTCTGTCACTAAAATCATTAGTCCGGTGACAGTCCGCCTTAATCTTCCTCCAGTGTACAGGAGGATTCATCCCATCTTTCACGTATCCAAAATTAAACCCGTATTTTTTGCTCGTATTAATCCGCCTGTCCCGGTTCCCCCCCCCCCCCCCCCCCGAACCTACTTATTCGGTCAATCGTGTTCTGGACTCGAGACGGAGGGGGCGCGGATTCCAGTACTTGGTGGACTGGGAAGGTTACGGTCCGGAGGAGAGAAGTTGGGTACCGGCTAGAGACATCCTGGATCACTCCCTTATCAATGATTACAATCGGCAGGTAAGGGGGAAGGGGGTACTGTCACGGTTGGTAAATCCTAAGTCTGCTTCTTGTCTCGTGTTTATGTTGTTGTATGTGTGTGCGCTGATTAGAGGGGCGTGGCCGCTCATCAACGCTCGTCAGCAATCACCCATTATCCATCACCAGCTGCAGTCTATCAATTCATGTGTATATATTCTCATCAACTTCTCATCTCCTTTGTCAGATCGTTGTTTGTGGTTCCCGGTGTGTGTGTTCCCATTGTCATTCAGTCGTGTGCTTCTCCTGTTCCGGTTCTTGTTCTTTGGATGTTGGATTACTGTTCGTCGTTGGATTTTCACCACCACCACCACTGCACGCTGCACTTGTCATCTGACCATCGGAGTCCCTGCGCCACTAACCTGTCTGTCTGGACTTTGGACTATCTATCTGTGTGTTATCATCAAATAAAGAGTTTAACTGCATTTGCTTCCGTCTGATTAATCATGACAGTTTCTGGCTCTGAGACATTTCCTCCCGGACATTAGAGGCCATTATGTTCTAGTTCGAAAAGAAAATACGTTGGTGGTCTCTTATATAAATCGGCAGGGAGGCCTGAGGTCACGCCCTCTGTGCAGACTGGCGCATCAAGTTCTCCTGTGGTCCCAGGGCAAGTTGCTCTCACTCAGAGCAATGTTCATTCCCGGGGACAAAAATGTGGGGGCAGACATCCTGTCGAGGCAGGGGAATGGAATGGAGACTCCACCCCGAGGTGGTGAAGTTGATCTGTGGATCTGTTCGCCTCCCACAAAAACACACATTGTCCGCTCTGGTTTTCCCTCACGCATCCAGCTCCCCATACTGGCCCCATAGTAGCCCCATACTGGCCGGCCCGAGTTTGTTTTTCAGACGTAATAGCACTTCTAGCAGCCCCTCCGCGGCAGATTCCAATCAGGAGGGACCTTCTATCCCAGGCCGAGGGCTCAATACATCACCCTTGACCGGAACTGTGGAAGCTATGGGTCTGGCCTTTGAGGGGGACCAACTCGTAAGTGCTGGTCTCTCAACTGATGTTGTTGAGAGCATCTTAAACTCTAGAGCTCCGTCCACAAGGAAACTTAACGCTTTAAAGTGGAATGTGTTCACTTTATGGAGCAGAGAACATCAGCTGGACCCAGTTAACTGCCCAGTGGCTTCAGTGCTGGAGTTCCTCCAAGGTCGTTTCTCTGATTTATAGCTTCTGCTAGACCATCACATGTGACGTCATGACGCAACACCAATGGAGATTGGACTAGTTCCATACGTGCTTCAGACGCTATCACGCTTGAGGCGTTCCCCAAAAGTGTCGTCTTTCGACGCAGCGTTTCGTTCCCGTCTCAGGGAACAAGGGTTACAGTCGTAACCCGAGACGTTTTTCTCTTTCAAATATTACACACACACAATTTTTTTATTACACACACCCAAACCATAATCTGACATCCATAACAACACACCCACACAATTATAACTGCATCATTTATCCAATTGGTTCTATAATATGCAGAAGCAAAAAACAGGAATCGAGTGAGTATTTGTTGTATAGGCCAAACCTGAGAAAATGGCACCATCTGGTAAAATTTTTTAAAAATGTAATTTTGAAGCCTTGCCAACCAAATGAAAGTCTATTAACAAAGACTGCATAATTTTATTGTTAAATGGCCCTGGGATTAAACATTGCCGTTTTAATGGGTTTCAATGAGGACATTTTTTGTTGTCCTGAAAGTCCTGAGTGTAACTATTTTGTATTACTAGTGTAAAATAGTTTTTTTTTTTTTTTAATGAAGTGGGGGTGAAATAGTAAAATTCCAATAAAAATAAACACTTGTGCCAACCTTTATGCAGGTGGCATTAACAAAAAAGAACTCAAAAAGACAAAAATGTCCATGAGGACACACAAGGGTTAAGTATTACATCATTTTGTTGTCTGAAAGCTCTCAAGAGATGAATCAGAAGATATATTTGGATAGAGATTGCCAGTGATCTGTGCAGCATGAGAGAATGAGGACAAAAATGTACAGCGGAGTAATTTAATTCAAAGCCGCTCACAAGCATTCAGACAGTCATTGTCATAGTTTTCTCTGGCTCTAAAACTTTATGTATACAAATATGTGATTCAAATATTATGCATTACATGAAGGTATATTTTAAAAAAATTTAATTATAGTTGTAGTTAAAATATCCTGTTAAAGGTATGAAATGACAATTTTGTAAATTCTCTAGATTTTGCTAATGTCTAATGTCACCAAACTCAAAGCTGCCATGAGCTCTGTAAATGCAAGTTTATCACAGAATATCTCCATTGTTCATCCTGAATACTTTTTCATCATTGGACTTACAGGTATACCTTATAGTGGTTATTACTATATATTCTTATTTATAACATATTTTATATCTGTAATTGGCAACTCTATAGTCCTTCTGATTTTAGCTCTTCATCGAAGCCTGCACAGTCCAAAGTACATTAGTGTGTTTAACTTGGCCTTGGCTGATATTGGTGAAACTAATGCACTGATTCCTAACATGATGAAGACTTTTCTGCTCGACTCACAGCACATCTCCTTCAATGCTTGTTTGGCAAACATGTTTTTTGTTCACTTCTTTAGTACTATGCAGAGTCATACTCTTGTAGTTCTGGCATATGATCGCTTCATTGCAATTTGCTTGCCATTAAGATATCATGCAATTGTTAACAATACCAGTGTGGTTTTGGTTTTCTCAGCAATTTGGGCATTTAATTCTTCTGTGGTGGCCTTGATGGTGTCTTCGATCACCCGGCTTTCTTTCTGTGAATCTAATGTGATTCAGAGTTACTTTTGTGATCATGGGCCAATGTATAGGTTGGCATGTAATGACAATAGCATTAATAGGATTATGGCATTTCTCATCACAACTTTATACCTTGTAGTACCATTAATTATTATAGTCCTGTCATATCTGGGCATTTTTCTTGCTTTAAGCAAAATTACAACCTGGCAAGGACGTTTAAAAGCGCTGAAGACCTGTGTCTCTCATTTGTTGTTAGTAGGGGTTTATTTCCTCCCCATATGCTGCTCATACATTGCTGCATGGTTGGTTTCTCTCACGCCCAATGCAAGGATCATCAGTACGTCTCTGGCATATGCTGTTCCACCAATGTTAAATCCCATAATTTATGTATTAAATACATCTGAAATCAAAGACATAATCCGGAAAGTGGTTAAAAACAGATCTGAACCAATTAGAGAGAACATTTCAAAATGACTGAAATGCCTGTTTGATTTTAATTGTTTTTAAAAATGAAAAAAAAAAAATCTTTAAAAATAACTCCACGCTGAAGCCTCACAGAGGTGAACAATATATTTCCAGAAACACATACTTTGAAAAAATAACTTTTGAAAGAGTAACCGAGATAAGTAATATTTTCTTTGTATTCCATTATGACCTCAAGTTGTTTAAAATTCTGAAAGAAATATTTGTATATATTTATAAAAATACACGTAACAGTAATGCTATCTAATATACTTACTAATCTAATTATTTATTAATCCAGCTTATTTCAAGTGTACGGCTTGTGTTGCTGATCACAAGACAAATCTAACAGGGAATAAAAGCAATTTGATGTTTTTTGAGCTATCGTTATATGTTGTTTATGTTTAAACGCATAATTCACTGTCGTCTATAAATGCATTTTGATAGATTTTCTCCAAAATCAACTGATGAGACATGACTAAATAAAATAATATTTCACAATGTATTCATTTTTGAATTTGTAAAACAGTGGTCCATTTCAACATGAGCATGTTGGTCTGAGATCTGCTGATGAGGCTATTTTTGATTTTTCTCATTTGGTATTTTTCTGTTTTTGTTTTGTTTTTCTGTACAGTAGTAAAAAAAGGAACAAGAACCCAGATAGACACATGTGCATGTTTCAGTTTATTGTGTCACCCTTTTTAAAAGGCAATCAAAATTATATTAGGCCTATAGCTTTGATTAAATAATTACAATGAAAATGTAACGTCCAATGATATATTATTATTATTGTTCATGTAATACTTGTTCAATTTGCTTTACTCCTAGTTTACAAAGGTGTGGGCGTGGTTGTGTGCCCTGTGTCTGTGTTTTTGCCTGTGTTTTTGCCTGCTGTGTGTGTCTCTAGGCTTGTTTGACTTTATACAGGGCTGTGCAGATTGATCGGCTGCTTACTTGAAGCAGTGCATGCCGGTTAGAAATTGTGTCTGACTTGAGACAGCGCCTACGCCACATGACTGTGACGAATGCCATCAAAGTACCACAAGAGCGATTCGAGAGCAGCTGGCTGATTCATTCTGCCCAGCTTCTCCAGAGTGGCTGCACGAGCTCTGATGACGACACAACTGTTCCACGATTGGCCGAATCCACTGCATGGCAACAATCATGTGTGTTTCGTGTTTATTCGAACACCTTCAGTTCCAGTAATGTTCACAAATCAGTTTTTTATACCAGTAAAAACTATTTTCATGTAGTTGCGATGTTATATTGTGTCATGTTTATCAAAATAAAACTGATAAAAAAAGCAAAGTACATAAAGTATTAAATGAAACGTATCTGAAACGTCTGTGTATTTGACAAATATTGCATTTATTTCACTTCAGCTGTGGTAAAGTACAGGGACGGCTGGCTAATAGAGGGCACAAGGGCCATCAACATCAAAGCACAATACACATACCAAGGGCAGAAAGTACATATACAGAGGTCACTTACAAAGTTAGGTTAAAGATACAAACAAAGAGGGATTCAAACAAATAACATATACATAACAAGGTTAAATTTACAGACTGTGACCTTAAGTTTTTTTTGTTTTGTTTTTTAAGAGGTTTTTGAATGAGAGAAGGGTGGATGCTTGACGGATGTCTTGAGGAAGAGCATTCCACAACCTGGGAGCCACAACGCTAAAAGAACTGGCTCCCATGGTTACCAGACTATTGAAACTGACTGAATATGCCACATCCCCACCTAGGATATTTTTCACCAGCCGCCACTGGTAAAGTATGCAAACATCACGTGAGCGGTCACTACTGGAAGCAGAAAGTGTCCGTCTTCACGTCTCCATTTTCAGCTCCTCCCCGCCTGCACGCGGCAACTCTCGCAGATTGGTTACATCCAGCCACAGCCGATGTCGAACACACCTTTTCTCTATGGAAGGCCGTAAAGACATATATGACAGATGATATAACGTGTGTACGCGTAATTGCATCTAAGCACATTATTTCGTGTACAGACGTTAATGTTTTGGCCAATGGCAAGTCCGAAAACGTGGAAATTTCAAGATTCAAAATTCAAGATTCAATACTTTTATTGCTATACAACTCGGTGCAAGTTGTTAAGGATTTGCTTCAGTGTGCTCATAACATTACATCAACAAGATACAACCAAGACATAGAGCATATATACACACAAACAATATCCCACACGAGATGACACTTGACACAAACAAATCAAAGTAAAAGGAACACACCGCTCACCATGTACCTGGATGACAGTCCAGGACGCTATAGTGGCTGATGTCAGGTAGAAGTGACAATTTGCATAGGGATACAGAGCGCAAATCCGCAACTTTACAATAAATAGATAAAATAACACTAGTATGGTTGGCATAAAATACATAAAAAGGTATAATAAAACACTATAAATAAATGTGCAAATTATGCAGACTCGTTAACAGAACCTTTTTTCCATAAGGGACTGGTTCAGGGATTGAGAGCTGTTTAGAGATTTAATGGCTCTGCAGTATGTGCTATTGAGGAAGCGGGAGGTTTTTGTTTTAATAGCTCTTATCCTTCTTCCTGATGGGAGTATGGAGAAAAGAGAGTTGGCAGGATGAGTATCATCTTGAAGGATCTTTTGGCCTTTACGGTGAATATGGGCCTCGTAGATCTCACAGATGGGGGAGAGTTTTGCAGCCAATGATTTTTGAGGCTGTATTGACTATCCTGTCTAGCTGCAACCTCTGCTGGACAGTAGAGTTGCCATACCAGACAGTAATAGTAAAAGTAAGGACACTATTAACATATAACTAATTATAACATGCATCCGTGACTGAAGTCAACACAGCGAGAGCGAGAAGAAATTAAGTTGTGCCTGCATCAGAGAGTGAGTGCTTCATTTGCGTTGAGACGGCTTATGGCTATGCGAGATTGCAGCACACTGTAGACAAGTAACCACAAAGTGTCACGACACACACGGGAGATAGACAGCAGATCCAAGTGCAGTAAAGATGTTTTAATGGGTAATCCGTAAAGCGTAAATCCAGTCCAGGCAAAGGTCAAATACCGTGTAAACAATCCAAATACAAAAATAACAAAACACAAGGAACAATCAGGAACAGACCAAGAAGTGTCAGACATAACAACGACTCCGTAACACATACTGACACAGACGTGGAATATATACACACAGATCTAACAAGACTAACAATGAACAGCTGGGACAATGATTACGGGGAACAGCTGAGTGTAATGAACAGTGATAAGTGACAGACAGAATGCTGGGAATTGTAGTCAATGTGAAGGACACCGTGAAAACGAGGACCTCTAGTGACACCCGGGGAAACACAAACCAGACACTGTGACACAAAGTCGACGATTCGCGGAGCACTGTTGGAGGAGCAGCGTGTTAGACGGGCTGATGACCGGCTGCGAGAGACTACCGTGAGTGCTGAGGAGACGAGTGGAGATAACTGCCGTGGTTCTTCTATCGTGAACACATTGGACTGGATAGCAGGGTTGCTGTCCAGTCATGCTGTGAGTATGTTCTGACTTCTATCTTGCGGTGTGCCTATCAAATCCAGTTATTGCCTTGTAATGGACGAGAACGAGCCTGCTTTGCATAATTTTACTTGAGTGACTTTTGAATCGGCCGATATTGTGTAGATGCAAAGTGATGTGAGTTGGACGTCGTATGCTGGCAGTTTTTTTCTTTCTCTGTGTTCCAGCATCGGGCTGATACTGGCCTCCACTGCGTGAAAAGAGCTGTAATCGGGCATGTAAAACTCCTGAGTACTCCTGTGTACTCCACAAATAAACGGATGTGTACGGGAGTTTGCTGTCCCGTCACACAATCCCGAATACTCCTGGATATGTACCAAGTTTGGGGCACAGCAGGGAGCCACTAGGGCCATCAGTTACCATGGTGAATAATCCCCCGGTTGGGGTCAATGCCAGGGAATATTAGCATTTCACACCTTTGGGACACAAGGCAGTGGCCTCCTTCAATTGGTCAGAGATCTTACGGTCGGGCCAGCAGGATTGGGTGCTGAATGCTTTCCCCCTCCTCTAAACCCTCTAAACCCCTCCTCTAAAACCCTAAACCCCTCCTCTAAAACCCTAAACCCCTCCTCTAAAACCCTAAACCCCTCCTCTAAAACCCCACACTATTGGTCCAGTTTAAGGCCTTATTTGGGTTTATTGTTACTCATCATTAATATTTATTATCATTGGTGTTCATGGTTATAATGTCAAGACAATCAGATAGACAAAGTTGAGTTTGTTATTTTTATTATTTTAAAATGACACTGGGCACATGACATATATATATATATATATATATATACACACAATCAAAATTCTATAAATAAAAAATATGTTAGCATAGAATACACTTTACTATTAGTCATACAATATATAACCCCATCTAATAATTAAGGCCTGTGTATAATATTTAGAAAACAATATAATATACAAATACTTTAGAATATATAAATAGTACAATATATAAATAGTACAATATATAAATATAGAGATACCAATGTGGAATTGTATAAAATATATAAATGCAGTATATATAGAAAACTAAATAGAATTATATATAATACAATCTATAAATAATACTATATAAAATAAATACTATATAAAAAACAACAACAGAATATTCAAATTATACTATAGAATAATATTTAGATGCGTAATGCTAAAATAATTCACAGGCCAGCTTCTGTGGTCTCCACCGTGACTCGATCTGCACCAACTCGTGGATGATGAGTTCCTAAGTACTTCTGGTCTGCTTCCAGTCTTTTTTGTAGCACCCCACACAGCGCAGACAAAGCTTTACTACGGGTTGGAGGCCGAACAACCCACACCGTCTTTCTATCCAAGATGGCATCCTCCTCTTCAGACATTTGGTCAACTGTTGCAGTCTTCCAGATAGCTGCCTCTTCCTCTGTCTGGAGAACACCAGTCCTGCTGCTCAGCAGCTGCAAAATGGGAGGGAAAAAAGAAATTAAACCACTGAAATTATCAAATGGGTTGGGATGGGAGCCTTTTAGTCTTTTACTGAGATTTATATTTATTTATACTTACTCTTCTTTTTCTTTGTCTCGTGCGAGCAATGATCCTGCTGTCCTCCATCTTCTCTTTGTTCTCATCTTGGGCCATCCTGTAACCCCTTCGAACAGTTTCAAAATATGTCTTGCAGGATGCTAGAGAGAGGGAGATAGTGAGGGGGGAGAATGTGTTTATTTATAACTAACTAGTCTATACAGTTAAATAGTTGTAGTCTTGGTATATTCTCTTGTGACTTACCTTTAACAACAGCAGGATCTACGTCCGGTACAGCCATGGAGACGCCATTAAAGAGATAGGTTGTGACCTCGAGGTTGTGGGGGGAGGATAGACTGTGGAGCAGTACCGGTAATTAAAGAAGGTTGATTAAAAATATAATTTGAAACAATAGTTTTAAAGATATAAGTTACCTTGTCTGTGGGTCATATTTGTGTGTGTTGTTTTCCCCATTGTGCAATCTGCATACAGCTTCCTGTAAAAATCCAACATAGTATGAGAGCTCAATTCAAATACATTAATAAATAAAGCACACAAAGTTAAGCGGACACCGCAAAATGTTTGTGACTTAAAAAACTAAAATAAATAAAATAACTTACCGCAACAGATTTATTCCCAGCTCTCTTTAATTTCTTCGAAGCAGGCTCCTCTCTTGCCTCTTTGAGCTCATTGATGTCCGCCTCCATCTTAACCAATCTCTTGTCCATCGTCTCCAGCTTTTCAAATATCCGCTTCAAACTTGCATTCACCATATTCACCAGTCGGTTTTCGTTCGGACTCGGAGTTTGAAAAGCCACGTTGTCCCGGCGTAAAGGAGTAACATCTCTACTCTGCTCTCCGTAAAACTCCAGCGTTCTTTTGCAAGCCATCTTCGCGTTGTAAATAGGATACGGCGTACCTTTACTAACCTGTATATTTTAGATATCTTTTGTTTTATACATACTGGTAACACCCATCCACAAACAAAATTTGCCGCCTCTAAAGTTTTCAGGTAATGCTATTGGTTACTTTCACTGACACAAAACATAAACTGATTCCGTTGGTTGGAACTGGATGACGTCATTGTATTTCATCCAATTGCACGCTTGGAAAGTAGAAATACGGAAATCAAGCACTGTAGCGAAATAAACACAGCAACCTCAGTCACTCCTCAGTTTATCAGAAACATCAAACTACCGGATCGATAAAGGGTTTAACAATGTCTGCTCTGACGGAAATTTAAAAGAAGAAGAAGAACGGACCGGATTGCGAATCCCGATTTATTACAGAAGCGAATCGTAAAAAAAATAATCTGTTTGCTTTCAAGCCATGGAGGGAACAAGGAAACGGAAGAGACAGTTTTGTGGTCATTGTAAAGATTTCGTTTCACATACGCTTTTTTATTCGCACAAGAAAACATATTTTTTAAATGGAGTTTGGATAAAAGACGCTACCGATAGGCCTACTCTGCGTGTTTCAGAAAGTTTGTTTATCACGCAACCAGAGGACAACGAACATGAACAACAACCGGAAAATGATGTGGACAACACTCTGCAAGGTATGAATAGGTTGTTTTCAGTAATTATAATTATGCCCAGTTCATTTCTATTTGAAATTTGAAAGCTATACTACCCAGCTGTAGTTTCAGTCATTATTTTACCCTGAACTAAGCCATGTGGAGGCGTAAATGCATATGGTAACCAAGCAACGTTAGCAGACTTGGGACCAGCTGACCACTTACGTCTTAACAAATCATGAATGCATACATGATAAATATATCCAAAGTAACATTACAAGTAATTATTTTTCACTAAAAATCTACTCAAGTAAAAGTACAAATATGTTGCATTCAAACTAAGTTACTTGTGGGATACCGCAAACGTTTGACCAAAGTTACTGGAGAACATTCTTTATTTGTTACATTTTGTGAGAAATATTGTGTAAAATGGCTCGTTTTTCTGTTATAGAGAACTTTGATTATGAAGATCTCAAGCTTCCCCTGGGTGCCAGTGACTCTTCAGATACTGCCAGTGCTCCACTGTTGCCATCAACTGTGTTTTGTATGCAGCAAGGGGACAAACAGACTGATATACAAGACCAAGAACTGTACGAGGACTGCACTTTGCAAGGTAAGATTGTGCACCTGTCAATAGTCTCAAAGCCTGTAACTTATAACCTACCATAATTCTTTGGAGACTGTTACTGTGCTAAAGCACCCAGAGAAGTCTGTGGTACTTCTTTTGTATTTACAATAGTTTGAATGTATGATTACTCCTGTCCTCCTTAGTGATGATTTTGTTTGTGTGGTTTTCAGAGGTGTCAAAAGTATTCACATTCTTTACTCAAGTAAAAGTATAGATACTAGGTTTTAGAAAAGACTTCTGTAGAAGTTGAAGTATCAACTCAAGCTTTTTTCTAAGTAAAAGTGTAAAAGTACTGGTTTCAAAAACTACTTAAAGTATAAAAGTAAAATTTCTACTTAAGTAAGGTAACAAAGTATTTGTACTTAGTTACTTGACACTTCTGGTGGTTTTAAAATGGGTGTTGTGTTTGGGTTTCAGATGACAATGATGATGAAGACTTCGAGCTTTTCCTGAGTGCCAGTGACAGTGAGTCTTCAGATGAAGATGGCTACTATGACCAGGCAGACAGTTTCATGGAAGAGGATCAGCTTGAAGAGACTGACATTTTTGGGGAGGAAAATATGGATGCAGATGGGTTCAGGGTCACAGAAGACAGCCCTGAACATTTGATGTTGAAACTGCTTGCATTTATGCTTTTGGCATGGCAAGCTGTTTTCAAAATATCAGACCGTGCAATTTTTGCACTCTTGCAGTGCATAAGACAATTAATTTGGCTCATGGGACATATTCTGTGTGTGAACACACTCTGTGGGCTGGCTGGAAAGATCCCTAAGACTTTATATTCACTCAGGAAATGGACTAACATCTGCAGAGACAGCTTTAGCCAGTTTGTGGTATGCCCAAAGTGTATGGTAACATACACAATTGAGGAATCATACACCACCTCTAGATCCGGTGCAAAAATCATCAACACTTGTTCTTCTAGACCTTTCCACAAACACCCACAAAAGAAATTAAGAAGCAAATGTGGAACTCCTTTGATGAGAAAGCTTATTGGCTCAAGTGGTAAAGAATACCTGTATCCCATCCGTGTCTACTGTTACAAAAAGGTCCGTCAGTCTTTGGAGACTTTGGTGAGAAGGTCTGGATTTTTGGAGAAATGTGAGCAATGGAGACACCGCAGCATGCCTGACTCTGTCATGGGGGATGTATATGATGGGAAAATCTGGCAGGACTTTCAATATGTAAATGGTCAACCATTTCTATCAGAACCTAATAATTTTGCACTGATGATGAATGTTGACTGGTACCAACCCTATAAGCACTCCCCATATTCAGTCGGTGTTATATATCTTGTCGTTTTGAATTTGCCGAGAGAGGAACGCTTCAAAGATGAAAACATGATTTTAGTTGGAGTGATACCAGGACCCAAAGAACCCAAACTCAACATGAATGCATATCTTGAGCCCTTGGTTGATGACCTCCGAGAATTGTGGGAAGGAGTTGTTCTAATGGACTCTTCACCCTTGGGATGCCAGGTTTACAGAGCAGCATTACTCTGCCTCTCATCTGATATTCCAGCTTCCCGCAAGTGTGGTGGTTTTGTTGGCCATGGAGCACTAAGAGGTAAATTCTGATTTATTATGCTGTTTCACACTATTGCTCAGCTTTTTCCTATTGTGTGCAATAAATCTAACTTTAAAACAATTATTATCTTTTCAGGATGTAACAAGTGTCTAAAGAAATTCACGAAAACATCTTTTGGGGGAAAAACGGACTTCTCCGGATTTGACAGATCAACCTGGACTCTGCGCACCTCTGAGGAACACAAAAGATTTGCAAAGATGACAGAGAAGGCTACTACAAAGGTAGCCCAGAAGAAACTGGAAGCGCAGTATGGTGCCAGGTGGTCTGAACTGTTCTTCCTGCCATACTATGATGCCATCCGGTTTGTTGTCATTGATCCCATGCACAATTTACTCCTCGGAACTGCTAGACATGTTTTCAAACTCTGGATTGAGTGTGGGGTATTAAGTATCCAGAAGCTTGAAGAACTCCAAAAAAGAATGGACTCTCTCAAGGTGCCACAGGATGTTGGAAGGATTCCTCTCAGAATTGCATCAGGGTTTAGCGGGTTTACAGCAGACCAGTGGAAAAACTGGACAACCATCTATTCATTGTTTTGTTTAAAAGGCTTGATTGAGGATCCAGATTATGATATGTGGTTTGATTTTGTGCAAGCCTGCATTATTATGTGTTCAAGGGTCATCTCACATGATAGGCTTGAAGTAGCTGACTGTTACTTGCAAACATTTTTGTCGAAGTTTGTTGAACTGTATGGATCTCTTCATTGCACACCTAACATGCACTTACATTTACATTTAAAAGAATGCTTGTTAGATTATGGTCCCGTCTATGCCTTTTGGTGTTTCTCATTTGAGCGGTTAAATGGAATGTTGGGACAGTATCATAACAACAACAGAAATATTGAGGTTCAGGTCATGAGAAATTTCCAACAATGTCAACAGCTCCAGATGCCACTGCAAAGCGCCTATGCAACTGAATTCATCAACATCCTGTCTACAAAAGATGTGGGTTCCTTGTCAATCCATGACACCACTGATGTAATGTACATAAAACAGTATTCATGTATGTCATCTGCAACACTTGTTTTTCCAGATGTGGAGATGGTTAAAGCACTACCCCCATTTAAGAATGTAGTATTAACAGATTCAGAGAGACAAGCTTTGTTGTCAATGTACACACAAGTGTATCCTAACAGCTCCGTCTCAAAGGTTGGTCAATTAGCAAAGACATGCTTTAGAGTAAGAAGCCTTGGGGTGACTTTTTGTGTAAGAGGCAGGGCTGAAAGGTCAGCGTGTGTATCTGCAAAGTGGTGTGTTTACAATTCAAGTTTTGAAGAGCCTGTCCTTGATCCTACTGCAGAGGTGCGTCCTGGAATAGTGAAACAATTCTTTGTAATTTCTGTGAAAACACAAACTTCCATTATTCAGCATGTAGTGGCAAAAATAATGTGGCTGCACCCTCACCCAGACAGGCATTTCTTTGGAAAGCCTGTGGAAGTTTGGGGTATCAAGGGAATAGAGTCTAACATTGCCTCATCATTCCTCCCTGTTGAGCGCATTACAAGCAGATGTGTTCTCAGTACCACAACTGTGCAGTTAAGTCACACTAGGGAGAGAGTGTCTGTGGTCATTCCAATGTGTACAGTGGTAGAGATTTAAAAAAGTTGTATCTCTGAAGTGACCATTTGTGTGTGAAACATTTTTGTTTACATTGTTTTACATTGTTTATTTTGTAGGTTTTGTATTGTTTGAGTGCATTTTACACTAAATAAATTTGCATAATCCTAATGAGTATTTCTCCTTTGTTATGAAGAGCAGTGGACACCCAGATACAAACTTCTTTTAAGGTACTACAGTCTTTGTTGTAGATTGACACAATGTAAAGCACTTAGCAGCCAAATCACCTTTCCTGAATAGTAAGGAGGGGGGCAGGGGAATAGGGGCAATCTTGAGCTGCCAGTCCCAAAACAAATTAGCATTTACAAAGCCAAGCCATCAACTAACAGCAGGGGGTCAGACAAGTTCCTGTTTTCGGGCATTTGCAGGCATTTACAGGTACGCATAACAAAGTTCCAAAGCTCCATGCTAAAGAGCACATTTAGCGGGCGTATTCATTGCCTGAATTCTCCCGTTTACACCTCTTTTGACGCAGTGCTCTATGTGGGACTGGAGCGTAAATGGACGTCAGCTGTAATACAGATGCCTAGCAGAGACTAAGTTGAACTTTGACGGTCCTCTGAGCTGAAGATTGGGACTTTGGACTTGCTCCCCTCTTTTTTATTATTTATTTGATTCATCGTTTTGCCAACAATTTTATTGTAATAAAATAGTTTTTCTACTGCTATTTTGGGTGTTGTTTTCCACTGTTCCCTTCTCCGATAAATAACCTGTTTTTTCATATGGAGTTCCTGGGGTCTCAGTTTCCACTCTAGGGGGCGTAGTCGGCTATAAAGTTTAAATATATATCTTATTAGAGTCATTTGGCCGCTGACATAATTTGGCGTAGTCGGCAGGGTTGGATACGGGAATGGTGGAACAGCACTTGCTAGAATATTTTTAAAAGCAAAAAAAAAAAAAAAAAAAATGATGATGCCAGTGTTTCCTGGTGCCCCTTGGGTGCCCAAGTTTACGGATACTGATTGTGATTTGAAGTATGGAGACTGGAAAGAACAAATGCAAGGGCTTTTAGAAGCCCAAGAAGTACCTGAAGCAAAGAAAGTTAAAATTGTAATGGGTGCCTTGGGTGGTGATGCAAAGCAGGAAATAAGTGTTTTGGCTGATGGAGATAGGGATAAAGCCAATAAGATTTTTGAGCATTTAGACACCTTGTATGCTGGAGAAATACCTCTTCCTGTCCTTAGGTCACATTTCTTCAGTTGCAGAGAGAGGTAAGATTAATCTTTTAAAACGTTTGTGTTGCGATTACGAGAGCTTTATTGCAGGTTGCGGCGACATAGTCCAGAAGGGGCCCTTGTTGAAGATCAACAGAAGGAGCAGTTGTTGCTGGGGTTGGAGGATGGACCTTTTCTGAGAGCCATGAGAACGTATGCACGCCGAAACCCAGAAGGAACATTCGCAGATTTGTATCAAGAGGCTTTACTGTTGGAAGCAGAATGTAGTCAACCAAGGTATGAACTGGCTTGTGCTGCTGTTAGTGGGCCTGGTAGGATTGATTCTTGCTCACAGGGGACTGACTGGAAAGCTGAATTAAAGCGAGAAATTCTAGAGGAAGTTAAAGGACAGATGCGAGAACTGACACAGGAAGTGATGAAGGAGCTGAAGTCGTCTAGTCCAGTGGCACAATCAAATCATGCACAACCTAATTATGTACATTTCCAGCCACAAAACGTTTCTTCTAGGCGATGAAGGGGGCAGTCTTCCTCGAATATGTGGGATGCAGAGGGGAGGCCGATCTGCCGGCGCTGTCAACAGTCAGGACATATAGCAAGGTATTGCAAGGGAAGTGTGCTGCCTAATGGAGATTTAAACTAATTTGCCCTGCTGCAGAGGTCCAGGCGGTGGGGCCAGTGAGACCATCAGAAAATTCAAGGACCGTTTCTTCTTTTATTGATGGCTGTCCAATGGTGAGTGTCATAATTCAGGACATTGAGTGTACAGGACTGTTGGACACCGGCTCTCAAGTCACTCTGATGCAACATAGTGTGTTTGAGGAGAAGTTCCCTCAGTATAAGTTGGGCCAAGCTCCTGTTTTGACTTTAAAAGCTGCAAATGGCCTTGAAATCCCCTATATTGGATATGCTGTGTTTGATTTTAATGTTCCTGGAGTCCAAGTTCCAGAGTGGGGTGTTCTCATTGTAAAAGATGAATGTTCTACGAACCCTTTAATAATTGGTATGAACGTAATTTCACAATGTTGGACTGCTCTCTTTCAGAATGACGGGCATTCTTCATCGTTGTTTCAGAGTACCAGAGAACGACAAGCATGACAGCAGGTTACAGCAGTTTGTCAACGTGTTGCGGCATGCATTCATGAGGATGGCTCACTGGGAAATGTGTGGCTGGCCAACAGACGAGGTGTACGTGTTCCACCAAAGAGTGAAGTCATAGTCTGGGGACGTGCTCGGATGGGTCTGCGACAGCGTGATTACAGTAGACTTGTGGAGCCTGTGTCTGAACAACCTGCGGCTGCTGCACGAACATTTGCCATGGTAAAAGATGGTAAGATCCCTGTGAGACTCTGTAATATACATCCATACAGTGTTTTCGTCGGAAAATATCAGAAGCTTGGACGGCTATATGAAGTCAATAGCCCTGATATTTATGGATGCAGAGACCTTGGATTAACGTTGGATACTGAAGGTATTGTGGAGGTGAGTCTTACTGAAGCTAGCCCCCTTGCAGAAGATGCATTGTCTCCTGGTATATGCCAATTTTCTTAAAGATCTGATTTGACCACACAGCAGTGCCAAGATCTTTATGCTCTTTTGAGAAAATGGTCTAAAGTTTTTTTCTGAGAGTGAGGAGGATGTGGGGTACACAGAAGTAGTACAGCATAGAATTCACACTGGAAATGTGCCTCCCATTCGGGAGAGGTTTCGACCATTGCCTCCTATGATGTATCAAGAAATGAAGGCTCTGTTGGCTGACATGTTGAATAAGGGAGTCATTTCTGAGAGTGCTAGTCCATGGGCAGCCCCAGTGGTGATCGTGAAGAAAAAGGATGGGAGTTGGTGATTCTGTGTGGACTATAGGAAATTGAATGCTGTCACTCACAAAGATGCTTTTCCTCTGCCCAGAATTGAGGAGACTCTGACCACTTTGAAGAGGGCTGAGTGGTTCAGCACTCTAGATCTGGCAAATGGGTACTGGCAGATGGGTGTAGACCCAGAGGATCGTCCCAAGACTGCCTTCGCCACCCCTTTGGGGCTATACGAATTTCAGCGTATGCCTTTTGGTCTGTGCAATGGACCTGCCACATTTCAGCGGTTAATGCAGCGTTGCCTAAGTGGCTATTTAATAGACTTTTCTCAGGTGTACTTTGATGATATTATTGTGTACTCATTTGACTTTTCTACCCATCTTAGCCACCTTTGACAGATATTTCAGCGGATGTCCCATTATGGGTTAAAATTAAGACCTGACAAGTGCCAGCTCTTCCAACAGCAGGTGAAGTTTCTCGGCCATGTGGTGGACAAGGCTGGCGTACATCCGGACCCTGAAAAGACAGCAGCAGTTCAAGGTTGGCCTACTCCTACAACAGTCCGGGAGGTAAGGGCCTTTCTGGGCCTTGCAGGCTACTACAGGCGTTTTATTGCTAATTTTTCTAAAATTGCTCAACCTCTAAATGCTCTCTTGGTTGGCATCCCTGTTGATAAAAAAGTCTGGTACGCGTCAGATTGAGTGGACTACTGCATGCCAGGCTGCATTTGAGACCTTGAAGTCGTGTCTAACAAAAGCCCCTGTATTAGCCTATGCGGATTTCACTTTACCGTTTGTTCTGTATACAGATGCCAGCCACCAAGGTTTAGGTGTTGCCCTGTCACAAGTGCATGATGGAAGGGAGCATGTGATTGCTTATGCTAGCCGAAGCCTTCACCCTGCAGAGAGAAATTATGCAAATTATATTTCCTTTAAATTAGAGTTATTGGCATTGAAGTGGGCTGTAACAGAAAAATTCAAAGATTACTTGACTGGATCAAAGTTTACAGTGGTTACGGATAACAACCCTGTGGCTCACTTACAAACAGCTAAGGTCGGGGCCGTGGGACATCGCTGGGTGGCTCAATTAGCCAGTTTTGACTTTATAGTGAAATATCGGGCGGGGCGAGAAAATGACAATGCAGACAGTTTGTCCCGATTCCCTGTGCCCCCGGCAGAGCAGAACCAGCTTGCAGAGGTCCAGCAGATTGATGTCAACGGAGGTGCCACTTGGTGCTTTGGAGATCGATGAGTGGCGAGAGGCACAACAGAGGGATGAGGATCTTCAGGTGGTTATGCGGTATGTAAGGTCTGCCGGTGTACCAACCACCCTTGAGAGAAGAGCATTACCCCTGATTGTACAACAGTTGCTTCGCCATGTATCACGACTTGCAATCCATGATGGAGTGTTGTACAAAAAGATGATTGATCCAAATACCCATGAGTGTCAATTGCAGATTGTTTGTCCAGCTGCCCAACAAGAAGAGGTGTGGAGGCGATATCATGAAGCATTGGCCCATGCAGGTGTTGAACGTACGCTGACCAGAGTGCGGTCCCACTTCTATTGCCCCAAGATGGAGGAGATGATGTGAGGGTTTCATTCCGAGTGCGTCGCCTGCAGCCTGCAGAAGGGTAGGGATAGTCATAAAGCGCCCCTTAATCCCATTTCAGTGTCTTGTCCGTTAGAAGTGGTGGCTTTGGACTTTTTGTCTTTGGGACGACCTAATGATAGCTACCAAAACCTATTAGTTATGGTAGATATGTTTACACGCTACGCATGGGCAGTTCCAACAAAAGATCAGACTGCCGAGACCACAGTGAGGGCCCTTTGGACTCATGTAGTGCAGACCTTTGGCTGTCCTTTACGTTTCCATTCAGATAGAGGGCCAAACTTTGAGTCGGAGTTGGTTCAGGAGTTTTGCCTGTTATATGGAACAGTCAAAAGTCGAACTCCTTCCTATCACCCTGCTGGAAATGGTAGGGTAGAACGAGTTAATCAGACATTGTTAAATATGCTCCGTACATTGGAACAAGAGAAACAGGATAGGTGGCCTGACTTCCTCCCTGAGCTGATGCAAGCCTACAACAACACTGTACATAGCGCCACAGGTTTTGCTCCATCATATCTGATGTTTGGGCGTACAGAGAGGATCCCTGTAGATTTGGGGCTGGGTGTAGTGGTTGATCAGCAGAAGTGGGATCATAGAGGGTGGGTCCAAAATCATTACAAAAAGTTAAAGTGGGCCTACGCTGTAGCTAAGAATAAGATGGATCATGCTGCTGAGAAAATGAAACAGACTTATGATCGTGGGGCTAAGGATGTACCCTTGTTAGATGGTCAGCGAGTCTGGGTTAGGGACCGAAACAGGCAAGGTCGTGGAAAGGTGGGGTTCAGTGTGGCTGGTGGGGTCCAGTGCCCCATGTTGTAATAGGAACATTGGGAGAGATGGGGTTGGTGTATCTGGTAAGACCTGAAAAGGGAGGGAAGGAAAAGGTTCTGCACCGTAATGCACTTAAATTGTGTGCTGCCTCTGACGTGTTAGTTTTGGCACCCCCTAGTACTTTTAATACCACGCCTATAGTCATGGCTCGGGCCCCTGTACCATATACAGTGTTTGGGTTGCTCCGGCTTCTGAACCTGTAAATATGGGAAATGAGACTGTTTGACGATCTACACGTACAAATGTTGTACAGCGACCTATGAGATATAGAGAGTGAATTGAATGACTTTGGCAGGGACTGCTTATATTTTACTGGGGGGGAGGGGGGAGGGGGGGGGGGGGGTGTTGTGGAGCAGAGGTGTTGCACAATGTATTTATATATATATATATATATGCATGATCACATTTAATTGCTGTGCTTTCTTTTGTGTGAGTTGTTGTGATATCTTGTGTGTTGATTGCTGTGTCTTTTTACAAGCAGTATTCCCATAGCCACACCTCTATTTTTGATAATTAATGAACTAATAAGTGATGAATTTTGGGGTGGAGCGGTGAATATGTTCCCCTATAAAAAAAACGTAACAACTGTGACTGATACTGGTGGTGGCGGCATTGTGCATCTGTGACTGAAGTCAACACAGCGAGAGCGAGAAGAAATTACGTTGTCAGAGAGTAATAATAATAATAATAATAATAATAACTTCAATTTATATAGCGCCTTTCAAAGTACCCAAGGACGCTTAACAATCAACATGAGAAAGGGAAGGGTAGAATTAAGATAAGGGCAAAGGCCAGGGGAGCTAGAGTCCATAGGCCTCATTGAAAAGGTGTGTTTTGAGCTGGCATTTAAAGGTTAAAAGTGAGGAGGCAGAGCGGATCTCATGGGGAAGCTTGTTCCAAAGTGACGGAGCACCAACACAGAAAGCTCTATCACCAAATGTCTTAAGCCTGGACTTAGGAACAGCAAGCAGGTCCTTGTCAGAGGAACGCAGGGACCGTGACTGAGTGTAGGGATGGAGAAGATCAGTAATGTACTGGGGTGCAAGTCCATGAAGGGACTTGTACGTCAGGAGGAGGATTTTATATTTGATGCGGGACTTAACTGGCAGCCAATGAAGCTTCATCAGGATGGGAGTAATGTGAAGACCAAGTTTTGTGTGTGTGAGCATCCTAGCCGCAGAGTTCTGCACATACTGTAGTCTGTCAGTGGCTTTGCTGGGTAGACCGAACAGGATGCCATTGCAATAGTCAAGTCGGGAGGTGATCTCGCAGAGTGACTCACACTCACTCTGCGAGAGTGAGTGTTTCACTTGCGTTGAGACGGCTTATGGCTATGCGAGATTGCAGCACACTGTAGACGAGTAACCACAAAGTCGGCGATTCGCGGAGCACTGTTGGAGGAGCAGCAGCGTGTGAGACGGGCTGATGACCGGCTGCGAGAGACTACCGTGAGTGCTGAGGAGATGAGTGGAGATAACTGCCGTGGTTCTTCTGTCGTGAACAGATTGGACTTAATAGCAGGGTTGCTGTCCAGTCATGCTGTGAGTACGTTCTGACTTCTATCTTGCGGTGCGCCTATCAAATCCAGTTATTGCCTTGTAACGGACGAGAACGAGCCTGCTTTGCATAATTTTACTTGAGTGACTTTTGAATCGGCCGATATTTTAAGGAGGTTTTAGTTTGACTTAATAAACTTAAAAATGTGTAGATCCAAAGTGATGTGAGTTGGACGTCGTATGCTGGCAGTTTTTTTCTTTCTCTGTGTTCCAGCATCGGGCTGATACTGGCCTCTATGTGGGACTGGACCGTAAATGGACATCAGCTGTAATACAGATGCCTAGCAGAGACTAAGTTGAACTTTGACAGTCCTCTGAGCTGAAGATCGGGACTTTGGACTTGCTCCCCTCTTTGTTTTATTTATTTGATTCATCGTTTTGCCAACAATTTTATTGTAATAAAATAGTTTTT